GGACACACCATGGGGCTGGGGACACACAGCTGGGACACACCGTAGGGCTGGGGACACCACGGGGCTGGGACACACAGCTGGGACACACCAGGGGGCAGGGACACACTGTGGGGATGGGACACAGAGCTGGGACACACCACGGGGCTGGGACACACCACGGGGCTGGGACACACCACGGGGCTGGGGACACCACGGCACCCCAAGCTCAGGGGGGCTGTGGTTTCCCACTGCACAACAGCTTTGCCTCCCACCCAGAGCAGCTCCCAGCGCTCCCCTGCTCCTGCAGTCCCAGCCCACGGACTCAGCCCTTTCCCTCACGGCGGTGGGCGGACGCAGAAGTGTTTTTGTGAAGGATTGCTCACGCTTGGAGCTTTTCCCTGCACGTCTTTAACTCATCACATCTCAGTGAGCCCAGCCCAGGGGGGAGCCCCGGGGCACAGGCACAGACTCTGAAACTCCCTGTTTTATCCATCCAGGCAGGGGCAGCCCCAAGGCACCACACACAAGAGGTCAAACACTTCTACTGTCTGTGTGTGATTTAGGGCTGTTCATCAGTAGGAAATTGCCCAAATCAGTCCCAGAGTGCCAAACCCAGCCCCAGAGCCCGGGCTCTTCCTGGCTTTTCCCGCTGGGCACCAGCAGTGCCAGGTGCTGCTCCCACCCCAGAGAGCTCTGACCCTCACACACGGGCATCTGGGATTTGGGAATGTGGAGAAAACACGGGTAGGAAATCTGTCACTGGTGGCTGGGGTGGAGGAGTGCTCATAACACTGACAGGAATGATTTTAGGGAATGGTGGGAAAGGGAAGTGCTGAGGAACAGGCAAGGACCAGTGGCTAAAATGAGTGTCCACGACCCAAACCCTCGTGGTTCTGCAGGGAGTCCGTGCAAACAGCAGTTATTTTGTGTGTCTCCATTCTCCTGGGAAGAGCTTTAGGATTTCATTTGGATCACTAAGAGCAACAATTTATAAGGAAATTTATAAAAAGTTGTACTCTGCCCTGGTGAGACCCCAGAGTGCTGCCTTCAGCACTGGGACACCAACAGCAGCAGCACCTGGAGCTGCTGGAGAGAGCCCAGAGGAGCCACAGAGCTGCTCCTGGAGCCCTCTGGAGCCACGCTGGGAGAGCTGGGGGTGCTCAGCTGGAGAGAAGCTCCAGGGAGAGCTCAGAGCCCCTTGCAGGGCCTGAAGGGGCTCCAGGAGAGCTGGAGAGGGACTGGGGCCAAGGGCTGCAGGGCCAGGAGCCAGGGAATGGCTTCAGAGTAGAATTTGATGGGATCTGGGGCAGGAATTGTTCCCTGGCAGGGTGGGCAGGGGCTGGGATGGAATTGCCAGAGCAGCTGGGGCTGCCCCTGGATCCCTGGCAGTGCCCAAGGCCAGGCTGGACACTGGGGCTGGGAGCAGCTGGGACAGTGGGAGGGCTGGAAATGGGATGAAATTTAAGGTCTGTCCAACCCAAACCACTCTGGGATTCCATTCCACATTTCTGTGTTCTCTGGGTCCATGGCCCCATTGGTGTCTGTGGAGGGTGACCCAGTGAGGAGAGAGGGATGGATGAAGATCCTGGGAACAGGACATGTGTCCATCCCCAGCTCCAGCAGGACCATCCAAACCCTCCAGTGTGGCTTTGGTGTTAAGAACCAGCTGGTGCAGAAGGTCTGGGTTAATGCTCCCCGGGAGCAGGGAATGTTGAACTGGGAGGAGCTGTGGGGTCAGAGGGGTGCCTGGTTAATGTCACGAGTGTCCTGGAGCTGCTGGCACGGTGCTGGGGTTACGGTCACGCAGTGCTCGGGTGGGACACTCCGGTACTCACCTCCCCAGGGACCGAGGAACCCCAGAGGCCACGTCCACACCGCCTGCCCGGGCTCCTTCCAAACGGGAACGCAGGGGGAAGCGCAAGGGGTGAGAGCTGGGCTGGGACTGGGAGCCAGGGCTGGGCACCTGAGGCCCCCCAGCCCACGTGGGTCAGAACAAGAGCCCCAGTGTCCGTGGCAGGATGCACAGCCCGGGGAAGGGAGCTCAGTGGCCCCCGGGAGAGGAGGGCTGGCCACAGGAGGAGGCTGGGTAAGAGCGCTCCTGGAAACGGCACCGAGGCTCTGCCGCTGTCCCAGGCACAAGGGGAATTTGCACCCTGCACTGCCCCAGGGCTCCCAGGACACCTGGTCCTGCCTTGCCAGGGGAAGCCCTGCATTCCTGCCTCATTTGCTTCCCCCTCCTCCACGGTGGCAGAAAAGACTGTGAGGAGGCACACAAGGCCTTGGAACATGGAGGAACCTGCCTGGCCCACGCAGCTCTGGCTCCCAGTTTCAGTCTAAACTAATCTGTAACTTAGAGCCAGCTGAGAATTGTCCCTCAGGTGAGACAGGAAGCAGCTACTGGGATTGTGGGTTTGGATTTTCCTGCAGGTTTGGGGAGGTTAAGGTTGGATACTGGGGAAATTTCCTTATGGAAAGGGCTGTCCAGCCCTGGCACAGGCTGCCCAGGGCAATGCTGGAGTCACATCCATGGAGGGATTTAACAAGATGTGGCAATTGGGGACATGGTCAGTGGTGGCCTTGGCAGTGGCTGGACTTGATGGTCTCAGAGGGTTTTCCCAACCCTTACACGCCCTCTGATCCACGAGAAAACACGGAAAGCATAACTGAACTCATTCTAAATCTGACCTAAAACCAGAAACACACATAAAGAGATACTTTATGGACTGGGGAGGGAGTCAGAAATCCCAGAGGGTGCAGCTCCAGGGCAATCCAACCCCTCTGCTCCAGCTGGGATGTCACAAGGTACCAGCACCTGCCTTGTCTGGCACCACAGCACTGACCAAGATGTGTCATGGACACCATGGAAAAGAGACCTGGAGCTTTTCCTCAACAAAGGGGAGTGGGAAAGCAAAGGCAGAAGCAGCATCACTGGATCCAAGGGTGGTGGAGAGCAGTGAGCAGTGGTGTCCCTGAGGCCAGCACCGGGCCCAGCACTGGGAAATGCCTTTGTTGGTGCCAGGGCCACGGCTCCAGGACAGCCCCACACACCGGCAGGGCCAGCCAGGGGCTGCGTGCTGCGCTCACACGCCGCAGGGAGGGCACGGGGCAGCCACGGGCTCCTGGCCAGGCTGCAGAGCTGGGACCGTGCCAGCCTCGGGCAGCTCAGCAGCACCAAGGGCAAGGGGCTGCACCTGGCCCGGGGCAACGGCAGCACAAACAGCCTGGGACAATGGCCTGGGAGCAGCCCTGGGGAGAAGGAGCTGGGGATTGCTGGGAGAGGCTCCCCAGGGCCTGGCCACGAGCACTGGGAGCTGGGCTGATCCCACAGCGTGGGCAGCAGGAAAGGGATTGATTGGGATTGTGCCCCTGTGCTCAGGTGAGACCTCACCTGCAGAGCTGCCCCAGCCCTGGGGCCCAGCACAGGGAGCAGCTGGAGCTGCTGGAGAGAGCCCAGAGGAGGCTCCAGGGATGCTCTGAGGGCTGGAGCCAGGCTGGGAGAGCTGGGGGTGCTCAGCTGGAGAGGAGAAGCTCCAGGGAGAGCTCAGAGCCCCTTGCAGGGCCTGAAGGGGCTCCAGGAGAGGGACTGGGGCCAAGGGCTGCAGGGCCAGGAGCCAGGGAATGGCTGCCAGTGGCAGAGGGCAGGGCTGGATCTTGGGCAGGAATTGTTCCCTGGCAGGGTGGGCAGGGGCTGGGATGGAATTGCCAGAGCAGCTGGGGCTGCCCCTGGATCCCTGGCAGTGCCCAAGGCCAGGCTGGACATTGGGAGCACCTGGGACAGTGGGAGGTGTCCCTGCCATGGCAGGGGGGCTCTGGGTGGGATTTAAGAGCCCTCCTGGTGCAGACATTCTGTGTTTCTGTGATTTCCCAGAGGGATGAAGCAGCACTGCCCTCAGGACCATGTCTCTGTGGAGGTTCATCCCCCCAGGTGAGCCCTCACCTGCTCCAGCTCCTGCTCAGCGTATTTCTGCCGGCTGAGCTCGTTCTCGGTGCCCTCGCGCAGCTCCCGCAGCCTGTGTGCCTCCTGCTTGGCAATGCTGATCTCGTCCTGCAGCTTCTTCTCCAGGTGCACCTTCTCCACCTCCACCGAGCGGTGCTCCTCCTGCGCCTTCTGCAGCCTGCAGCACACCGAGAGAGACAGAGACAGTGCTGGGCCAGCTCTGGGACAGAGCAGGACCGGGAACAGGACCAGGATCGGGAACAGGACCAGGACCCAGGGCTGCCCACCTGACCCTGCCCTGTTCACCTAGGCAGGGAAGAAAGGAATTGTCAGCTGCTCAGTCTCAGCTTTATTTGTTTATCAAATACCAAGAATTCCTTTGTTTTCCAAAGCACATCCGGATTTCCTCTAGTGAGTCTCAAACTAAGATCAATTTTTGGTATTTTTACCAAAGTGAAGACTTTGACAAAACAAAGCAGGGGAAGATCTGCCAGAGCACATCAGACCACCCAGAAGGGATAGCTCTGCATTCCTCCTGCAAAATCCTGCAAATTCAGACATGTCTTCATCTTGCCTGGATGTTCTCATTCCTCCTCATGACAGAGTTTTATCGGTAGGAATATATGGCAACAACTCAGGAATGGTGGCAGCAATGAAAGCCTGGATCTCCACGGATCAGTGGGATCTTCCATGAGGAGCTGAGCTGTGCTGAGGCTCCCAGCAAGGCTGTGAGGTTGGCAGGGTGTTAGCTGGGCCAGTGACTCTCAGAGAGCATCCCAGTGTCACCCAGGGGCTCACAGCCCAGGAGCTTCCATACAATCCATGCATCTCCAAAGCACACCTGCCCACCCCTCTCAGGCTTCAGCAGGATGTGCCAAGGCTTGATCCTGCTGAGTCACTCAAGGGGCTGAAGTGTCAGTGCTGCAGGATGCTCTCAAAGCTGCTCTGAAGATGAATAAAGACTGGGGTTTGGTATGGATGTTCCCAACTCCTCAAATTCCAGCAGCAGCGGCACTGGAGAGGCATCCCATGCCTTCCAGGGTCTGCTCAGCACCGAGCCTCACCCAGCCAGCACAGCCAGGCCCTTCCATCTCTGGCAAAGACATCTCTGAGCAGAACTCCAGCACAACATCTCCAGGAGCACTGGGGCTGTCAGGAGTTTTTGCTGTTCCTGTGGCAGCTGAAGACCCCAGCTGAGCCCCGCTGGGCAAGGATGAGCAAGTGAAGGAATATTTCCCTTCAGGAGGCTCCCAAAGTCCCCCCTTCACCTGCCAGCCCCTGAGCTCGGTGCCCTCTGTGGAGGACGAGCCTTCCCGAGCTGCTCCGGCTTAAGGCAGTGCCGAGTTCCAGCGGTTTTGTGTTTCTTCCTGAGGGGCTTTAGAGCATTAGTTGAACTTCCCAGAAACATCCACTTGTTTACGTGGCTCTGCCCTCGGCAGCAGGGCCCAAGGTCGTTCCCCACAGGCACATTCCCAGTTTGGAGCTCGGAGGTGCCACCCAGCTGAGCCCTCCCGCCCCGACACCGCTGCTCCAAGAGATGGACACGGAGAAGGGATTCCTGTCTCCTCCCAGATGCAGAAAAAATAAATCAGACTTTCTTTGGGAGTATTTCCAAGCTGGAACATTAAACCCCACGAGGCTGTGTGTAACCAGCTGTGGACTGGAGCCACAGAGGGGACTGGACCTTGTGCCAGGGGCACGTGGCCAGTGTGGCTTCCGTGGCCAGGGAGTTCCCCGAGGGGCTCCACTCACAGCTCACAGGGCAGCCTAGTTAAGGTTTATCCTCCCAAACTCCACTGAAACCTCCCAGAAAATGGTTCCAGCCCCAGACTATCCTGCTCTGTTATTTCCTAAATCTGCCCTTAAAATATTCCACTGCCAGAGCACCCCACGGGTTTGTCATCACCAGGGCTGAGGGCTCCTCCCTGTCCCAGAAGATCCCAGAAGTGTCCAGAGGGTCTCTCGGAGCACATTCTCCCATCAGGAGCTTTACTGGCACCATTGCAGTGATTCCTGGGAGTAGAGACCCCATTCCTGAGGCTGCAGGATTTGATCCATATGCCAGAAGCCCAGATATTCCTATTTCATACTTCCAAATGATGTATTTTTTTCACTTTCCAAGCAACACCCTTTGACTGAGGTATTGATTGCTTCCCCACACAGCTCCAAGAATTCAAGCGGGGATTTGTAAATCCTCTGATTGCTCCCACTGCTCCAACACGCTTTTCCCCCATCAAAAACCAAGGTGAAACAACCTTGGATGACAAATTCCACATGCAGGAGGTGGGACAAGCTCTAAGGTCCCTCTGAGCCCAAAGCATTCCCTGGGGCTGTGACTGTGAAATCTAAAGGAATAAGGAGCAGGGAGAGCTGAGCACTCCAGCTGGATGGACAATGGGAACCCACCTCTCCTGTAGGTCATGGAGAGACTGCTCAGCCCTGTGGAGACCCTCCAGGTCCTTCATCATCTTCTTCATGTGCTCCTTGGAGTAGCGGTTCTGGATGTAGGCGAACCAGCAGCCGCCCACGCCGATGACGATGGACACCACCAGCATGAAGTCCTTGAGGTGGTTGTGACGAGTCACTGCAAGAGAGCACAGACACTGCTGGAGTCACAGGATCACAGCAAGAAACTCCAAAGGGCTGTGCCTGCACCAGGGTGGGACAGGGGAACTCGGGGGAGTCTTACAAGGAATTGTGGCACAGGATTCACCAAGGGAAAAGTTGAGCTGGGTCGATATTTAAGGGGAAAAACAGAGAAGCTTGATGACATTTATTGGGTTTGGAGACACAACAATAACAACAAAAAAAGATAAAATTCCTAATCTTCCATCTCCAATTTGCCTGGCAATAAGTGGTCCAGGGGAAACTGCACATAGGAACCCCTCCAGAATGGCTGTGATCTCACAGGGCAGCACAGGTAGCTAGGAACAAAATAATTACTTGCAAAACACTGCTGAGATGGCAGAGCTGGGGCAGCTCAAGTGTCCAACTGTCAAGCTGCCAAACCTTCCATCAGAATCACAACTCAGTGTGGAAACTCCCTTTTTCAACAGTTAATTCAAAAAAAGGTGTTGATGCATGTGAGAGGATGAAAGTCATTAAGTGGGGGCTCAAGTGCTAAACAAAGCCCAAAGAGATGACTCAAGCACAATTTTTTCCTCTAAGTCAACCAAATGTGTGCTGGAAAAGCCACAAATGAAAGAGCAGCTCAGTTCAGTGAGCTGGGACTTCAATGATCAGCATCCACAGGTTTTGAACCAAACAGCAGGCAATTCACACCAGGTACAGGGGAAAAATATCTCTACTGAAGGGGGCAGATGGCCCAGAGCAGCTGGGGCTGCCCCTGGATCCCTGGCAGTGCCCAAGGCCAGGCTGGACATTGGGAGCTCCTGGGACAGTGGGAGGTGTCCCTGCCATGGCAGGACTGGATTAGACAGAGGCTGAAGCCCCTCCCAAGCCAAGCTGCTCTTTGATCCCAGCTAAAGCACATCTGTCACACTGGCAGAGCTGGGGGGACACAGGAGGGGACCTGGGAGGTGGAAGCTGCCCAGCAGCCCCACACCAGAGGGACACATGGGGGACAGTGCTGCTGCTCCTTTCCCTGCGGAGGGACAGGGACAGGACCCCCCCAAGGCCCAGGAGACACCCAAGCACCCCCAGCACATGTGATCTATCCCTGCCTGCAAACACCCAGTGTAAATTCAGCACTCAGAACTAAACAAGGTGAGAGCTGGCCCCGCTCCCCCTCCGGATGGATTAACACAACATCCTCTTCCGAGGGAGCAGATCCTGGCAAGTGGCTACAGATCCTTCAGCGTGAATCCTTTCAGCTCCCATCCGGACAGCAGCGAGGCTGATGTGTTCAGATGATTTGTGTTCCAGCTCCCACAGCCACCACAGCCCTGCTCTCCTGCCCTGCTGCCCCCACCGGGGCCATTCCCTGGCTGGAGCTGGGCACATCCAGGAGCTGCCTGGAGCAATCCCTGCCAGCCCCACCCCAACGTGATCCCCCTCCTGCCCCAGTGCCAGCCCTGCTCAGCAGCGCTTGCATACATCCTTCCTCCTCACCAGCACTGCCCAAAGACACCCAAACGAGGAAACTCTAAGGAAAACTCAGCTTGGATGTAAATGTAGAAGCAATGGAATGGTTTGAGTTGGAAGGGACCTCAGAGCCCACCCAGTGCCAGCCCTGCCATGGCAGGGACACCTCCCACTGTCCCAGGAGCTCCCAATGTCCAGCCTGGCCTTGGGCACTGCCAGGGATCCAGGGGCAGCCCCAGCTGCTCTGGCAATTCCATCCCAGCCCCTGCCCACCCTGCCAGGGAACAATTCCTGCCCAAGATCCCAAGATCCAGCCCTGCCCTCTGCCACTGGCAGCCATTCCCCCTTGGCCCAGCACCCCAGAGCAGAGGGCTCCAGCCCTGGGAGCATCTCCATTTTCTCACCTTCATTATAGATGCTTTTTTCTGGTATCTAATCCAAATCAACCCTCCCGCAGTTGCAGACCTTTCCCCCTTGCTCAATTATTTCACCTTCTTTCAAACACAAAGCCCAGGCAGAGCTGCAAACCCGGCAGGACATCAATCCCTGCAGCTGAGCAGAACAATCAGTCTGTGATAAAACTGTGCCTTTCCCAAATCCCTCCTTTCCTCAATAAAAGGAAACGAGAAAGGCACAGCAGTCTGTTTTCCATGGTGCATGTGGCTCTTCCTGCAGCCTCTGCAGGTGTGAGGTGTGCTGGGAGCAGCCACGGCCACACGGGTGCACAACAGGCTGTGCCAGCCCCGCTGCCAGGGACAAATCCAGAGGGATTTAAATCACAGTGAAGTGAACAGGAACAATCTGAGGCTCCCTGGAACGGCCGCGGTGCCCTCGGTCTCTGCCTGGGGCACAGGAGCAGCAGGGAAAGAGCCGAAATTACAGAAAGTTCTCTCCCAAGTTCAAAAGCAGCAAAGCTGCACCTGCAGAGCCTCCAGCCCTGGGACACCAACAGCAGCAGCACCTGGAGCTGCTGGAGAGAGCCCAGAGGAGCCACGGAGCTGCTCCAGGAGAGCTGGAGAGGGACTGGGGCCAAGGGCTGCAGGGCCAGGAGCCAGGGAATGGCTTCAGAGTAGGATTTGATGGGATCTTGGGCAGGAATTGTTCCCTGGCAGGGTGGGCAGGGGCTGGGATGGAATTGCCAGAGCAGCTGGGGCTGCCCCTGGATCCCTGACAGTGCCCAAGGCCAGGCTGGACATTGGGAGCTCCTGGCACAGTGGGAGGTGTCCCTGCCATGGCAGGGGTGGCACTGGGTGGGCTCTGAGGTCCCTCCCAACACAAACCAGTCTGGAATTCCATGTTTCACCTGAAGTTGTGCTAATTTGTGCCAGATAAACTCCTGAACCACAAGAACAGAACCCCAAAGGGACAGACACAGGAGAAGCAATCACCTCATTCTGCTTAGATTATAATTGTACCATGCTCCCTTGCACTTGGATTAATTACAGAACTGAAGTGGTCAGACCTGTTTGCTGTAGGAAATGGCAGGGCTGGAGTCTGGCAGCAGGAACCAGACCTGGAGGGACAGCAGGAGCCTGCAAATCCATGTGGAAACTGGCCATGGAAACTGGTTGAAACCTCTGCCACGAGCCAGACACCCACCCCTGGAGCCCTGGGCTGGGAAAAGCTTCACCCAGCAGCAGGAACAGCACCGTGCCCACGTGCTGTGATCCCCACGGGCAGCAGGGTGTCTCTGCATCCAGGAGCCTGCAGCAGGACTGGGGCTCCAACCGAGGCTGCTTTTATTTGATGTTTTTACACCATTGGCAAACAGAGCTTCAAGAGAGGAGACAAAGCCTTGAAACTCTGTACCTGTGCACCACATTCCACTGCCAGCAGCTCAGACAGCCCCAGAGCCCAGCTCCCCTCCAGAGCCACCTCCCCTGGGAAAGGTGTAGAGCAGCCTCTGCAGCTTAAAAGGTCACTGAGCACTTCACCGAGCCCATTGCTGAAAGGTGTTTTGCAATCCATTCCTGAAGGAATTGGTTTAGATAAACAGCCTCTCCCCCATGACTGGAGCCAAAGCCATTCAGATGACCAGAAACCAGAAAATTTTACCTTCTGAAAAGGGATAAATCTCCCCTTCAGCTGCAGATTTCAAGGGTATTTCCTCACATACCCTGTATGCACAGTCATAGAACCATGGAATGGTTTGTGTCGGGAGGAACCTTAAAGCTCATCCCATTCCACCTCCTGCTGTGAGCAGGGACACCTTCCCCTGTCCCAGGCTGCTCCAAGCCCGGTCCAGCCCGGCCTGGAAGGTTTCCAGGCAGGGAGCTGAGGGTGTGAGCAGCCCTGGGTGCGGAGCAGCCCGCCCGCCGCGCTCCCCTGCGCACTTTGATCCGCGCCAGCCGGGGAGGGTCAGGCTGCGGGGCCAAGGGAGCTGCAGGGCGGAACAGAACAGCTCCAGCCTGGGGAACACACATCAATTCCCAGCCAGTACAAGCCATTCACTCAGCCATCTACACAGCACACAGCAGCACTGGAGGAATTCCACCCCCAGCACAGGAGTCGCTGGGCTGGAGCTGCTGCTGGAGGAGCTCACCCAGGCTGGCTCCACCAGGCCACCAACTCACCAAAGAGCTTCGTGTTTAACACAGGCAAGAAATAAAAACCAAACTGTGCCTGTACAAAAAGAGGCTTTTCAGTACCTGTGGGCAAAAATGGCTGATTGTACAACCCAGGCTTGTGATTTCCTTCCCATGGCTCTGCCAAGCCTCACACTGTGGTTCACGCTTGCAGGCAGTTTTCCCAGGACTGGGTGGGAATGGCTGGGGAGAAGGATTTGGGGGTGCTGGAGTGGGAGAGGCTGGACATGCCCCAGCCAAAATTCCTCTGGTGATCCCCCAGCATGGGCAGCAGGAAAGGAGGGATTCCAGCCTCTGCACCCAAAGCCCAGGAGAAAGCCATGCCAGGGAAGGAGACAAAAGAACCTTTAATAGGGAGCAAATATGGATGGCAAAGGGAGCACCTGGAGCGTGGAGACACACATCAGAGAGCTTGAGATCCTGATAAAGCATCAAAGGAGCCCAGGGCCTCACAGCAGCCATCCTCAACTCCTTCCCATCCAGCCTGCTGCTCCTTCCCTCCTCCAGAGGTGGGTAATTCACAGCCTGAGTCACCAGCAGAGCCTCGGGATGTGACAGAGCAGCCCCAGGAAAGGCCAGGACAGGATGAGAGCTCCAGGACATGGCAGCAGCTTCCCTGGGAGCAGGCAGGATCGCTGCCCTCAGGCACCTCGCCCCCACCCTCAGCAGCACAGAGGGGCAGCGGGCTGTGCACACAGGGGATCCCAGCAGGACAGGGGAGATCCCAGCTGCACCTCTGGGAGCAGCTCTCTGAGATGGGAATGCCAGCCCAGGGTGCCTCCAGAGCTGCTCCCATGCATCCAGAAACAGCCTGTTCCTACTCCAGGGGAGCCGTGCTGGGAGCAGCCTGGGAGAGGCTGTGCTGGGCCAGCCAGCCCTCTGAGCACACACAGATCCTCATCCAAGGGGCCCTGGGGGTCCCTCCCAGGGCTGGCAGCTGGAGTTTGGGTACTCACACAGAGGAGGCCCGAAGAGCACCGTGTCCAGAGCCTTGAGCTGCAGCTTCTGCCGGTGGCTGCGGTCGGTCATTTTGAGCACAGTCCCCATCATGGTGGCGTTGTTCACTGCCAGCCTGCACAACGGGGGAGAAATGAGCTGTGGGCACCTCCACCAGGACCAGCAACACACCAGGGCTTGGGGAGACATGGAGCAGGGCCTGGGAGCTCCCTGCCCCAGGACAAATCCCTCCCTGCTGCTGTCCCTGAACCAGGGTGTCACCAGGACACTTCGCTGCAGCATTTTTAGGACTGGGACAGAGCAGGAAAAAACAGGGCCAGGCCTAATTCATTAACCCAACAGCATGAGGGACTGATTTCCCATCTTTTGGTGTCTTACCAATCACTAATAACTACTTTTGAACCAAATTTCAATTTTATATCCTGTGTCACAGACCATAAACCACAGTTCTCCCTTGGAAGGAATGTGGACACACACTGTGCTGCCTCAGAAACATCCTCAATTTATCCCCAGTTAATCCCTCCTTCCCAGTCAGTTGAAAAGCAACTTTTCCTTTTTCAGCAACAGGAACCTTTATCCAAAAAAGCTGCCCTGAGGTGTCTCAGACCTGTTACCAGTTTAGGTGGACTCCCAGCCAGTGTTTCTCTTACATGGAATCATGGAATGGTTTGAGCTGGGAGGGACCTCAAATCCCACCCATTCCCAGCCCTGCCATGGCAGGGACAGCTCCCACTGTCCCAGGAGCTCCCAAGGTCCAGCCTGGCCTTGGGCACTGCCAGGGATCCAGGGGCAGCCCCAGCTGCTCTGGCAATTCCATCCCAGCCCCTGCCCACCCTGCCAGGGAACAATTCCTGCCCTATATCTAAGCCCAATTCCCCCTCTTTTCACTCTCAACTGGAGCAGGAATCAGGCTGGGCACATGCCAAGGAACTTCAGGTGATGACAGCAGCTGACTCCTGTCAGGCCCTGGTTCTTTCCCTGCACACAACCCATGGGGACACTGTGGGCACTGACCTGGGCCTGGCACTGACCCTGGCCTGGCACTGACCAGGACCTGGCACTGACCCTGGCCTGGCACTGGCCCTGGCCTGGCACTGACCAGGACCTGGCACTGGCCCTGGCCTGGCACTGACCTGGGCATGGCACTGGCCCTGGCCTGGCACTGACCCTGGCCTGGCACTGACTTGGGCATGGCCTGGCACTGACCAGGGCCTGGCACTGACCTGGGCATGGCGTGGCCGCTCAGCTGCAGCTTGCGGAAGGTCTCCTCGTACTGGGGCAGCTCCACGTAGGAAATGAGCCACTGAACCACCTCGTCCACCGTCCAGTTGTACACTGAGGAGAGCAAAACAGGCCAACAGCTCATTCTGGGTACATGGAGCATCAGAGAGTCACAGATTTGGGTTGGGAGGGTCCTCAGAGCCCACCCAGTGCCACCCCTGCCATGGCAGGGACACCTCCCACTGTCCCAGGAGCTCCCAATGTCCAGCCTGGCCTTGGGCACTGCCAGGGATCCAGGGGCAGCCCCAGCTGCTCTGGCAATTCCATCCCAGCCCCTGCCCACCCTGCCAGGGAACAATTCCTGCCCAAGATCCCATCCAGCCCTGCCCTCTGGCAGTTTGACACTCTGGGCAGTCCTGCAGGACCTCAGCCCCCCTCCATGGGAATATTTTTGCCCAGACTCCAGGAACTCCTGAAGTTCTGCTGCACCTGAGCCCCCACAGACCCCACATGGTGTGGGAAGAGCTGCCTGGAGCTTTCCCTGTGACAGCACTCCTTTCCCAGGGTTGGTTTTCCCTGTGTTCCCAGCTCCCCATATTAACACATGCAAGGAGGCCATCAGATAGAGGAGCAGCAGGGGCTCCACCTCCTGCCACGGCACCAGCAGAGCTCAGGCCTGGCACCCTGGCAGGGCCAACACCCAAAGTGCTGCCAGGTGACAGCTGGGACCACTGGCATTTCCATCAGCCCGGTGATCCTGCTGCCTCCGAACTCCCACCAGGGAATGTTCATCCTCAACACGTGCCCAAAGCCCCGGAATTCTGAGGTCAGCTCCCGAAGCCTCACCCCCTGCTCCAGATCCAGGGACCATCCAGAGGATGTGGCTTCCAGGATGGATTGTCCATCCCTGGCAGTGCCCAAGGCCAGGCTGGATGGAGCCTGTAGCAGCTGGGACAGTGGGAGGTGTCCCTGCCACAGCAGGGGTGGCTCTGGGTGGGCTCTGAGGCCCCTTCCAACCCAAACCATTCTGGGATTCCCTCTGAGCTTTGACTAAAAAACACACATATGGAGCAATACCAGAGAAAACTGACTTGAGAAGGGATCTGTGGGAGGAGGTGGAGCAGGTGCTGCAGCACAAGTGAACCAGCTGAACTTTGCTCCTAAACCTCCTCCCCTCGGCACCAGTGGATTATTTTTGGAGCTCTCCTGCAGCTCCAGAGCTGTAAGTGAGGGAACCTTAGGAAACTGTCATGGGGTAGCTTTACCTTTAAGACAGCTCCTGCCTTTGCCACCTTGTTGTGTTGTGCTTACAGCAGTGCTCTGAAGGCAAAGACAATCCCAGAACGCCACGTTAGTTTGGGTTGGGGGGGACCTCAGCCCACCCAGAGCCACCCCTGCCATGGGCAGGACACCTCCGATGTCCCAGGTGCTCCCAGCCCCATCCAGCCTGGCCTGGACACAGCAGATGTTTTTATTGGAGCTTTGTCACACTTCAGTTCATCATCCTCTGTCCCTGCTGTGGGCAGGGCTGCAGGGCTCTGCTGCGGTGCCAGCCCTGAGCGGGCCCACGAGCAGGAGAAACATCTTCCCAAGCTCCAGGGAGCCCAACACCGCCCACGGGGAGCTGAGGGAGAGGAGGGATCAGCAGTCTGGGAGAGATGAGGGAGATGAGGGAGTTCACAGAGCTGAGGGAGCTGGAGCTCAGAGAAATAAGATGAGAGAGATGAGCGAGATGAGGGATCTGGGAGAGCTGAGGGAGATGAAGGCTCGGGTGGAGATAAGAGGGCTCAGAGAGGGAGCTCAGAGAGCTGACTGAGTGGATGAAGCCAAGGGAGCTGAGGCAGAGCCCAGGGCTGAGCGAGGACAGCAAGGCTCCAAAGGAAGGTGCCATCCCCATGGATGCTGGCACGGTGACTCAGCTGCAGGGTGGCACAGGCCAAGCCACCAACCCGTCCTGGCTGCAGGGAGCTCCCCACAGGTCAGGGTCCCACACACTGGGGGCACAAGCAGGGTGTTACCGATGGAAGGGGTGGGAGAAGCCCCAGGCCCTGCATGGTGACAGCACCGGTGCCTCGCCACAGGGCTTGAGGCCACATGCCCGGCCATCAACACTGGGCCCCTCCAGAGCCCCTGGCTTCTCTCACTTCCACATCCAGGGGTGTTTCCTTTGGGAGAAGTCCCTGAGAAGCGAGCTGGCAGCACGCACAGGCACCAAGAACCCTGCCCGAGGGGCTGATCTGCCATCACTTCCACGGCTTTGGTGGAGCCAGGCTCGCCCAGGACATCACCTGCTGCATCCAGCACCTCCTACGGGCATCACAACCTTTATCTTCTGCAATAATTCAGGGGCAGAAATATCTTTTTACTGTCCACGTGTGACCAGGAACAGCAGCAAGAGAAGGGAGGAAAAGCAGTGACTTGCAAACAAATGCAACAGGCCCATCCAGGCCGTCCCTGAAGGATGTCAGTGCCCTTCACAGCTGCTTTTCACACCCACAGGAAGGAGCAGACCTTTCCTACAAGCCTGATTCCAGTTTCATGACTTCAGTTCAAATTCCAAAATCAGGCTTTAATTTTCCCTGGAAGTGTTCCAGGCCAGCTTGGACAGGGCTTGGAGCAGTCTGGGACAGAAGAAGGTTCCCTGCCTGGCAGGGGTGGCACTGGATGAGGTTTCTGGCCCCTCCCAGCCCAAACTCTCTGTGATTCCATGACATGAGATCACCCTTCAGAAACCAGTCCCTTATTCTATCAGCCAGAGTGTGCCAGAGGCAGGGACAGAGCCAAGGCAGCTCAGTGATTACAGGGCCTGGCCAGTATCAAGGGATGTTCTCCTCCATCCCTTAACGATTTCTACCCTTTCCCAGCTGACAGCAAAATACACTCCAGGCAAAGCCATCTGTAAACAGCCCTGTAATGGGATAAATATTTCTTACAGAGGCACTCCTTGGACACAGGAGATGCAGGGACTTGGAGTCATGGAATCACAGGATCCTTGAGGCTCAAAAATCCCTCTGAGGCCACGGAGTCCAACCATCCCCAGCACTGCCAAGGCCACCACTGACCATGTTCCCAAGTGCCACATCCACAGGGCTGTGAAATCCCCCCAGGATGTGATTCCATCCCTGTCCTGGGCAATTGTGCCACTGCCAAGTGATGTGGACAAGAATTTTCAACACATCCCTGTCCAAGTCCATGAGAGCCTGGTCTGGGACACACAGCTCTGGAATCATCACATAGATAGCACAGACTGCTTTGGGTTGGAAGGGGCCTCAGAGCCCACCCAGTGCCAGCCCTGCCATGGCAGGGACACCTCCCACTGTCCCAGGAGCTCCCAATGTCCAGCCTGGCCTTGGGCACTGCCAGGGATCCAGGGGCAGCCCCAGCTGCTCTGGCAATTCCATCCCAGCCCCTGCCCACCCTGCCAGGGAACAATTCCTGCCCAAGATCCCATCAAATCCTACTCTGAAGCCATTCCCTGGCTCCTGGCCCTGCAGCCCTTGGCCCCAGTCCCTCTCCAGCTCTCCTGGAGCCCCTTCAGGCCCTGCAAGGGGCTCTGAGCTCTCCCTGGACCCTTCCCTTCTCATGCACAGCCGCACTGTGCTCTCAACCCACGCTGTAAATGCTGCACCTCAGTGCCCATGCAGTGCTCCTGGGACGGGAGGGACTGCTGCACTCCCTGCAGCTGGATCCAGAGCTCTGGAAACACACAGCACATCCCACCCACAGCAGCTGAAGGGCTAATACAGAAAAGTCAAATACAAACAGGACACAAATGAGAAACTGAAATTTCTATGGCTGATGAACTGATTAGAAGACTAATATCCAGTATTTCAAGGAATGGATGTAGACAGAACTCCTGTTTTAGAGATGAGGAGCACTGAAAAAAATGGGATTAATAATTTCTGTGGAATTCTGGGGAAGCACTTGCCAATCTTAAGTTTGTTCCAAGATTCCCAGGTGTCAGGAAGTTTCTCACCAGAGGCTGAACTCCCACAACCTCCCTGGGTGCTGGGATGAATAACAGCATTTTGGAACAGCTAAAAGTTATTTCTCCATGGGCTGTACTCATGACACTTCCTGGATTTCATTCTCCTTTCTTCTCACTGTGAAGGAGTTTTTCAGGTTCAAAAAGTTTCTGCTAAGAGAAACACAACCTGCAGGAAAGCTCCCAAGCAGCTCTATTGAATATTTAGGATGTTATCACCCCACTAAAATTCCATCTGAAACAGAATGTTTGAAGGAGAACCTGGAATTGGACAGTTTTGGCTCCATTTAACACACATTTAGGGCAGGGGAACAAAACAGTAACTGATACTTTGGGCATGCTCAGGAAGCAACACCTCAAAAAGGGAGCTGGAAGAGTCTAAGGCCTGGTACAAGGCAGGAAAAGCAGCACATTCCTCCTGAGAGCTGCACACTGCCCAGGACATCTGAAATCCAAACCCTTTGGCACTCCTGGGAAAGGATTTCTTGGCTTTTTGTCCCTTTTTTACCTTCGGATGTCTTCCAGGCCTTCCAGAGATCTTCCACACTGATGAGCTTGTCTTCTCCATGGAAAGTGCTGTGCTTGACTGCTGGGTCATGGTAATTCAAGTCTTCCCTCAAGAACTGAAAGAGGAATTAACAGCAGGATTAGGCTTTCATTCATCTTTTAGAGAGATGAGTAGCATTAAAAAAAAATTTGAATAGTAATAATTTTGTTGGGAAAGTCATAATAAATCTGAATAAATGAAAAAATATAATGGATATATTTTATATATATATATTAGATATACCTTATATCTATATATCATATATACATACATATACATATATATATGATATATATGAGATATATATACATATATATATGATATATATGATACATATATATATATATTATATATAATATATATATAAAATATCTTTTATACAGATATAAGTATATTCCCTGCAGTACCCCTGAATATTTCTGTTCCTGGGAAGACCAGCCAGGAAATATTCAGTAAGTAAATATGTTAAATTCATTTAAATACAGAGAAGGGATAATTAATTAGAACCTTGGGTCTTGGAATTCCAGACTTTTCTTCAAATTACAGTTTCACCAAAAATTCACCTATGTGGCACAATGGAAGCAGCTTTATGACAATGGAGTAAGAACCCAAAAATTATCACTGGATTTGATCTGCACCTTCAAATCCAGGCTGGAACAAATACTACTGGCAAGAGGGGAGGCAGTTCCACTGAAAAATAGATTTAAATATATCTTTCCTAGCTCAGTGGGTGCTCAGAGCAGCTGGGGCTGCCCCTGGATCCCTGGCAGTGCCCAAGGCCAGGCTGGACATTGGGAGCTCCTGGGACAGTGGGAGGTGTCCCTGCCATGGCACTGGGGGGCTGGGAGGTCCTTCCCAACCCAAAGCAGTCTGTGAAATCCTCCAGCAGACAGAGAACCACTGACACTCCAGTGCCCAGCAGATGGAACCAAGTTAAAGGATAATTCGGCATTCCTGCCCCTCAGGACACGATCCCCACACAGGCAGCTTCAGCTCTGGGCTGTTCCCTGTGCAACAGGATGATATCCACACCAATAACCACCCTTAGCTCTGGAGGTGGTGTTTTAACAAGATCTGGGCAGGTTTAAATTCCGGGCTCCCTGCCCGGCAGCTCCAGCCTGGGGCTCCCTGCTCTGCCGCCCGAAAGCTGCCACGGCTCCTCCTGGCCAGCAGAAAAGGTGGAAAACGGGAGAATTTGGGCAAACCTGTGTTCTCAGCAGGGGCTGTGCCGATCCCTGGGCGAGAGGCGCCGTCGCTGTGCCGGGTGACGCCGTGACCGGGCAATGTCACCCACGGCAGCGGCCCTGCTCCAGCTCCCGCCGGCAGCACCATCAGCTGCTGCTCTGTATATTTAGCTCGGGTTGCACAGAGAGGAAAAGTGATCCCTCAGCTTCCCCTGGGCTCACAAAGGCCAAAACAAACCCCAAGGACTCGGCACAGGGGACAGAGCTGGGCTGGGGGGATGTCCCAAGAAGTGAGCAGGGAGAAGATGCAGGATGGGGCTGGGCTGGGCCCACCAAAGCCCAAAAACACCTTAAAGCACATTTTCCACCGGCACCTTCTGGGGAAAAGACAAAACGGAATCCCAGACTGGTTTGGGCTGGGAGGGACCTTACAGTCCACCCAGTCCCACCCCTGCTATGGACAGGGACACCTTCCACATCCCAGAAATTCCAACCCCCTGGCACCAGAACCACTGTGCAGAGTACTGACCTACCTCCAAACCACTAAAAAGCAACACTTCCAAGTGTTAAAGTTCCCACTGATGCCAGGCCTGGAGACACCCAAAGCTCTGAGTCCTGGACAGAGGGTGACCAGACCATTTCCAAGGTCCCACACAGACCTCAGCCAGGCTGTGAATCCACAAGGACAGAAGGAAACTGAGTCAATCCTGAGAGGATTTGAAGGGAAAGACAAACCATGGTCAAACCAGCTGAAAGCAACAGGACCAGAATCACTGCTACAAAGCCCAGGATGAACTGGGATCACAGTGGGAAGGCTCAGCCTGGGAATGCCGATCTTCTCCAACAGCAGCAGCACCTGGAGCTGCTGGAGAGAGCCCAGAGGAGCCACAGAGCTGCTACAGGGCTGGAACCCTCTGGAGCCAGGCTGGGAGAGCTGGGGGTGCTCAGCTGGAGAGGAGAAGCTCCAGGGAGAGCTCAGAGCCCCTTGCAGGGCCTGAAGGGGCTCCAGGAGAGCTGGAGAGGGACTGGGGACAAACTTGCTGGCTGAAGGCACAGTCAGAAATGAACAGACTCACAAAATGGGATTTTCTGAAGAGTTTTTTTCTCATAGAATCACAGGATCTTCTGGGTTGTAAGCGATCCAAAAGGATCATCAAGTCCAACTCCTGGCTCTGCCCATCCCAAACAATCCCACCCTGTGCCTGAGAGTGTTCTCCAAACTCTCCTTGAATTCTGTTTTGAGTTGTTTTTTTTTAATCTGCAGAAACTCCAACTACTGAAGTGATTTTTCAAACCTTCCCATCCCTCCCACATCCTTGGATCTGTGCCACCCTCCCTCCTGAGCACGAGCTCCCGCTGTGCCAGAGCCAAGGGCCAGACCCGGCCACGTGCCGGGAGCTCGCTGCTCCCCAACTTCAACAGCTTTTCTGAGCTACCAATTCCATCCAAATTACAGACAACTCCTGGCTCCAAGGCCTGACCCCAGGCAGCGGGATCAGGGCCTGGGAGGAGCCAGAGAAAGACTGAGCAGCAACACAAACCTTGTTTCCTGAGGAAACCAGGCTGGCAGCATCCGAGAGCCCTGGCAGCAGGAACCCACATCCCAAACAGCCAGAGCTGCCTTTGCTGTGAGCGTGGAGACAGGAATAGATCCCTAATTAGAAACATTCCCCATGAGGGACACTTCTTTCAATTTAATCGAGGCCACTGGTGTCATCTGAAACTTCATTGAAAATTCACTTCCCAACAGGAAAACTGCAAGGATGATTTATGGACAGCGTGAAGCTGTGGGACAAAACTCCACCCATAACTTATTTTAAAAATACCATTGTCTGTGTGTCCCCTTCTGCCCAGGCAGGGGTTTCAGACCAAACAAAATACTCCCATCACTTACCCCCAGAGGGTAGGGGTCAAAATAATAAATGAAAATATGAAATTCTCAACCAACCAGGAAAATGCCCATCCCTGGAAGTGTTCCAATCCAGGCTGGACTGGGCTTAGAGCAGTCAGAGATAATGGAAGGTGTCTCTGCCCATGGCAGGTGGTGCAACTGGATGAGGTTTAAAGTCCCTCCCAACCCAGACCATCCTGGAAGTCCATGAACCCTGTAAAAGGTTTAAATTTGAGCCTCCTGCATTCTTCCCAATAATCCCCCGGCAGCTGTCCCAGCAGAGCCCAGAGTTAAACCTGACTGCAGGGTCCGTGTGGGGGAGAGTGATAACCTTGACAGGGAGAGCCCGGCAGGAGCCAGCCCGGAGAGGGAAATTCCTGCAATGCCTCCTTCAGTGGCTCCAGGGCTTACTGACAGGTGAACCTAATGCAGCTTCAATAAAAGCTCAGCAGAGGCAGAGCTGCAACTGCAGGTATGGAACTCCAGGGACAGGAATCACTGCACTTGGAAACGACTCCAAAATCATTGAGTCCAACTGGAAATGCAGCAAGCCAAGGGCAGCCAAGCAGGGCAATCCCAGCACAAACAGCCTGGGGGGAATGGATTGGGAGCAGCCCTGGGGAGAGGGAGCTGGGAGTTGGTGGGAGATGCTCCACATCAGCCCCAGCCTGAAATCCCCGTGCCCTGGGCTGATCCCTCAGCATGGGCAGCAGGAAAGGGATTGGGATTCTGCCCTTCTGCCCCACTCAGGCTGGACAGCCCTTTCCAGGAGGAATTTTCCCAAATACCCAACCCGAACCTCCCCTGGTTCAATTAAGGCCGTTCCCTCTCCTCCTGTCCCTGTTCCCTGGCAGCAGAGCCCGACCCCCCCGGCTGTCCCCTCCTGCCAGGGACTTGTGCAGAGCCACAAGGGCCCCCTGAGCCTCCTTTGCTCCAGGCTGAGCCCCTTTCCCAGCTCCCTCAGCCCCTCCTGGGGCTCCAGACCCCCTCCCAGCCCTGTTGCCCTCCTAAATGCAGAGCAGAGGTGCTGGGAGCAGGAGCAGCCCTGCCAGGGCTCAGCAGTGCTCGGATGCAGCTCAGAGGGGGTTGAGGAGTGGCTGTAGGAGCCCCAAGGCAGTGATTCTGAAGCCCTTTGGAAAAACCCACAGGCTTCCTCCCACCCTGGCAGTGTCTCTGTGCCAAGGCTCTGAGCACACATTCCCAGCACTGTTTTGTACCAGGAGCTCCCAGTGACTCCAGTGGTCTGACTCCAAGGTTTGCTCAGAGACATAAAACTGCCAGTTCTGCCCAACCCTAAGGACATGAGGCTTATTCCTGATTAAATGCCAAGGAGCAGCACACATGGGCTGAACTGGGCTGCCCCAGGCTGCCCCAGTCCCTGGGAGAGGCTGAGCTGCAGCTCCAGCCACTCAGTGCAGGGAACTGCCTCCAGGGAAACACCTCATGTGGTGGAGGAAACGCAACTGGAAGCTCTTCAATTGTTTTCATTACTCACTCAAGTGGGGTTGAGGCAGAGGGAACAGCCCTGCAAGCTGGGAACAGCCACCCAAAACCAGCAGCTCCTGGGACCAGGGCCTGTGTCCCTGGGGACTGTCACCACTCCAGAGGGACATTGTGAGGGCTGGATCTGCAAGAGCAGCAGGGGCTGACCCCGGGTCCCTGCAAGTGCCCAAGGCCAGGTTGGACACTGGGGCTTGGAGCCTTTTGGGACAGTGGGAGGTGTCCCTGCCATGGCAGAGGTGGGACTGGATGGATTTAAGGTCTCTTCCAGCCCAAACCAGTCTGGGATCCTGTGACCTGGGACTGCAGAGCTACCTGTGAGTGGCAGCAGATCCTGCACCCACATGCTTCCTTTCAGCTTCCCCTACTCTGACTGTTTAGCTGCCAGTTCTCCCTAGAAGAGAGAATTCCTCACCTCCAACGAGCACCCACCACAAGTGAGGAAACACTAAAACAAAGAGCTTTCCCTTTTCCAGCAGACTCTTATTTCCATCAGTGCTTGTGTAAACAAAGAACAACAACCTTCTTTCTCTTCAATCCTTTATCAGCTAAAACATCCAAGGCTGACACAACAAAAAGCTGTTCCCTTTTTTGCAGTGAGCACACGTGGACCGTTTTAGTTGGTTGCTGGAAGAATGCAGTGAACATAAAACCATGGAATGGTTTGGGTTGGGTGGGACATTAAAGTTCATTTAATTTCACCCCCTGCCATGGGCAGGGACACCTTCCACTATCCCAGGTTGCTCCAAGCCTCATCCAGCCTGGCCTTGGGCACTCCCAGGGATGCAGGGGCAGCCACAGCTTCTCTGGATCAGTGAAGTAGCTACAAACCCCCAGCAGTGATGAAAAGCCCCAGCCAGCACTGCTGACAATGCTGAGACACCCCTTGGATCATCTCAAGGTGACACACGCCTTCCTCTGTGAGGAGGAGGAGGAGGCACCAAGCCCAATCCCAGGCCCTGGCCACAGCAGCCTGACCGTGAGAGCAGCCCCCAGCAGTGGCCTGGACCCTGACTGACCTCGTCGCTCTCCTCCACGTCCACGTTGCCGTTGGCGTCGTCGTCCATCTGCTTGTGGATGTTGCGCACGGCCTCGAAGCTGAGCTGCTCGTCCTCGTCGTGGCACAGGGCCTTGTCGATGCGGCAGAACTCTGCTGGGGGCAAACACCAGCACATCAGGCAGCAGAACAAAGCTCCTCCGGCTGTCCCTGGGAGCCACCGCGGGCTGGGCACAGGGCACGGCGGGCCAGGGCTGCTGCTCTCCCCCTGAGCCCTCCACGCTCCCTCCAGGGCAGCTCTCCCAGCAGGGGCTGGCTCCTGCCCGCGGCCACAGCTCCGCATCTCCCCTGGAGGCTGTTGGCATTGGCACCGTGTGCGGCCGGGGAGGAACAGCTCTGTGTTTATAAAACCCAGCAATTCAAACCCTTCCCTGCTTCCTGATTATGGAATGGGCTCCTCTGGCTGCTTTTCACATCATTTTCTACTTCCCAAGACTAACACTTGACATCTTGCTGCGTGCCCGGGTCCATGCGAGCACTGAGCGGGGCTGATCCAGCCAGGCGGTGACAGCAGAGCCAGGGATGGGGAATCCTGAGGGACCTGGGCACGCTGCAGAGCTGGGACCGTGCCCAGGCCACGGAGCTCAGCAGGGCCAAGTGCAAGGTGCTGCACGGGCTGGGGGAGCAGGGGGTGTTCACCTGGAGAAGAGACACCTGAGAGCCCCTTCCAGTGCCCAAAGGGGCTCCAGGAGAGCTGGAATGGGACTGGGGCACGGGAATGGCTTCCCACTGACAAGCTGGACAATGCCAAAGCCTCCTGCAGAGGCAGGGCTGGTGTCCTGCTGCTTCCCAAACCTCGGGAAGTTTTTTCCAGGCTAACTTTTTCCAGGCCATGTGGCCAGGGGTGTCCAGCAGCGCTGTGACCTGGTGGCCAAACCAGTGAGTGAACTGGGAACCCTGACTGGGGCTCTCTGCTCTCCCAGGGCACTCCTGGCCAGCTGCTGAGGGGACACCCGCAATCACAGGGACCTCGGAGGAACACTGGATACCCTGAGGTTGATTTGGAGAGATTTGGGGCTCCTCTCCTACACTGCAAGAGTGTTCCCGTGGCTCAGAACTTTGGGCTGGGCCTTTCTGTGCGGGCTCCTCCCGTTCTCTCCGAGGCAGCGAGCCGGGACACGAGATGGTCTCTGTGTTTATGCTGCCCTTGGACCCGGCTCCAGAAGGAAAAATGAAGCCGGGCTAAGCTATCTCCCAAAATATTACATGGTTATCTTGTTCCGAGCCTGTGCTTGTTGTTGCAGGGGAGAACGTGGCAACGCTGTAGCAAAGTTTGGATTAAAGGAAGGGAAGGTCGTGTTATTGTAAAAGTGGATTTGTTCAGATTAACCCCCTCCTGACCACGGAACTCCTGAGCCCTGGCTCACGGCTGTCCGAGGGGCTCAACCACGGAAAGGGATGAAGCATGGAAGGGATGATGGACTGGGGGAGTCAGGGATTGAGGGGACCCTGCCCAGATTTCCTCCCACCCCAAGGACAACCCCTGGGTACTTCCAACACAGATGCCAGGAATGAAGATGGACTGAGAGCAGCAGTAAGGACAATAAAACAAGCGTTTCAAGAGCTGCCAGGTGCTGATAACCAACTACACCATCAACAGCAATCAAAACAAACCCACGGAGGAATTCGGTGCTTTCATCAAGACCAGAAAGAGCCTGAATATGGGGCACAAGTGATTTAATCAGCAGACAACTCTGAACTGCTAACAAAATGGTCCCAAAACTTCAGCAGCCAGGATGGGCTTATTCATTCCCCTCCCTGTTATCTCCCTTCCTCTCCCTCTTATCTCCATGGGCTGCAGCTGCAGGAATACCCAAATGAAGGAACAAAGACCAGCACCAGCCACTTTGCCTAAACCTGATGGATGATTAAGCCTAAAGATCAAAGCACAGAATCATCCTTTGGGTGGGAAGGGACATTATGGCTCATCCACACCTTCCACTGTCCCAGGTTGCTCCAAGCCCTGTCCAAGCAGGCCTGGAATACTGCAATCAGGCTATTCCAACGCACCTTCAGCGAACAAAAGCTTCAAAATGAGTGCGAAATTTGCTTTGTTTAAGTAAATCTCCCTGTCCAGAACTTCCAGCAGCTTCCCCAAGAGCCGCTGGCTGCCTCAGCAGGGCTGTGGCTCCTGGGGAGGGGAGGAACAACACCATCACCTTCACTCTCAGCGTCACCGGGAGCCTCCCGGCTCCATCCCCGCTGTTCCTCGGCTCCCGGCCCTTTATCTCCTACCGTCAACTCAATGGTGGATCTGCCCTGCAGAACAAAGAGTCTCTTGTCCCTCCCAAGGGGAGTTCTTGATGGACCATTAACCTGGGCACATCAACATGTTTGCCCTCACAGCCCTCCTGCGGGCCTCACATGGCTCCTGAGGGATTTCCATCCCTCCCGTGGGATTTCCATCCCTCCTCCTGGCCTCATATCCCCCCTGTGGGATTTCCATCCCTCCTGCAGCCCTCACATCCCTCCTCCTGGCCTCATATCCCCCCTGTGGGATTTCCATCCCTCCTGCAGCCCTCCCATCCCTCCTGCGGGCCTCACATGGCTCCTGAGGGATTTCCATCCCTCCCGTGGGATTTCCATCCTTCCTGAGGGCCTCACATTCCCCTGAGGGATTTCCATCCCTCCTGCAGCCCTCACATCCCTCCTCCTGGCCTCATATCCCCCCTGTGGGATTTCCATCCCTCCTGCTGCCCTCCCATCCCTCCTGCGGGCCTCACATGGCTCCTGAGGGATTTCCATCCCTCCCGTGGGATTTCCATCCTTCCTGAGGGCCTCACATCCCCCTGAGGGATTTCCATCCCTCCCGCAGCCCTCACATCCCTCCTCCTGGCCTCATATCCCCCCTGTGGGATTTCCCTCCCTCCTGCTGCCCTCCCATCCCTCCTGCGGGCCTCACATGGCTCCTGAGGGATTTCCACCCCTCCTGAGGGCCCTTCCATCCCTCCTCCTGGCCTTTTCATCCCTCCTGCTGCCCTCACATCCCTCCTGAGGGATTTCCATCCCCACTGCGGGATTTCCATCCCCACTGCGGCCCTCACATCCCTCCCACCGTCACTTCCATCCCCTCCTGTCCCTCTGGCCAGCCTCTCCCCATCCTCAGCCCCTCGGGGCTCGCTGTCCCCCCAAAGGCACTCTGCAGCCTCTGTCAGGGCTCCTGCTGCCACCACAAAGGTGCCACCACCCACATCATCAAAGGACACTGAGGCCTAAGTGCCAAAACAGAGCTGGAATTCCACTGAGACATGGAGGTTGGAAAAGGCCTTGGACACCATCGAGTCCAACCGTTCCCCAGCAGTGCCAAGGCCAGCACTGACCGTGTCCCCAAGTGCCACATCACAGGGCTGTGAAATCATCCAGGGATGAGGTTCCACCTGTGCCAGCGCTGGACAACATTTTCCATTCAGGAACTCTTCCCAACGTCCAACCTGAACCTCGCCGGTGCAATGTGCAGCCATTTTCACCTACCACAGAAGGCAGATTGGGGTGGTTTTACAACAGATGATGAAGATGTGTCTTGTGGTGGTCCCGGCTGGCACAAGCTGCCCAGAGAAGCTGTGGAGGCTCCAGCCACAGAGACCCCAAACCCCAACGGGACACGGCCCTGGACCAGCAGCTCTGCGGACGATGATCTCCAGAGCTCCCCTATAACATCATTTCATTCCAGACCTTTCCTTTCTCATGGCAGATTCTCTCTAATGAGGATTTTGTTTGTTTAATTTCCCTTGGTTTCCTTCTGTGAGCTCCCATTATCCTCAATAACACCCCAAACTCGTTAACAGCAGCTCGGCCCCTGCAGCAGGCGTGGGGACAGCCCTAAACAGCAGCTTAATTATTACAATTGTCATTTACATAACTGGCTTTTATAAACACCGGGAGGGCAGCCAAGGAAAAAAGCCCTATATTTGGGGAAAAAGAACTGTTTACATATTTCACCCGTGTAAACAAGGGCTCAGTTGAACTTCCGTGCTCAGGGTTCCTCCCATGGAACTCTGGGTTTCAATTAAAAAACACCAAGGACAACTTCAGGAATTTTAACGAAGGCATTAAACTGTGAGGGATGTATCCAGAGATTTCCATTCCCTCTGGAATAGCAAGGGGAGTCCTGGGAGCCCTGACATCTTGCAAGGCTGCAGAGCAGCAGCACAGAGAGCAAGGGCAAAAGGGCACAGTAATAATCCTGTGTTTCCAGCTCTGATTCCCAAACATCAGAGCCTGATGGAGCTGTGAGAGTATCCAGCCATTCCCACTGTCAGGAAAGGACTCAAAGTGTTTTTATAGTTCAAGCTGACACTGTTCAGCTTGTTTACTACAGAGAGAACTACAGGTCTAACGTGCCACACTCAGCCACAAGCACATGCAAAATTCACATATGAATCCATTTTTCCAAAAAATTATGTGGATTCATCAAACAGAATTGGGATTTTAGTTTTTGCTCATTTTCCTATTCCTTGACCTACCTTCCCTGGCAAACTCCTTCCCTGGGAGGTGCAGAGCCAGGGCACCAGGTCTTGCTCTGGGCAGGCAGCAGCCCAGAGGGCAGGGCTGGATGGGATGTGGGGCAGGAATTGTTCCCTGGCAGGGTGGGCAGGGGCTGGGATGGAATTGCCAGAGCAGCTGGGGCTGCCCCTGGATCCCTGGCAGTGCCCAAGGCCAGGCTGGACATTGGGAGCTCCTGGGACAGTGGGAGGTGTCCCCGGTCCCTCCCAACCCAAACCTGTGACTCCATGACCCACAGGGACCTCATCCATGTTCCCACCTCCCTTACAGTGTGCAAACCCCAACACTGATTCTCCCAGCAGTTTTGGGATGTAGAACCCAGCAGCTGAAGGGAGTTTGCTCAGAGAACACAGAAGAGAGCATTCAAATATCTGCTCAACAGGGAATTATTCCCATGCTCCTGTGGTCCCATCCCCCTTGGGACAGCAGGGTCTGAAACAGTTCAACAGGCATTCAGTGCACTCAGCCAGTTTTCCACTCCATGGAATTCCACACTGGTTTGGGCTGGGAGGGACCTTAAGGCCCATCCAGTGCCACCCCCAGCCAGTCCCAGGTTGCTCCAACCTTCAACGACCACAAAGTTTCAGCAG